AAAGCTGTGCTTGGCCGGGGAAGGGATGACTATTAATATTATTTGCCGTGGCGCTCCGGGGCGACCTAAAGATGATTGATGGTGCCATTTGACTTACACCATCATCGAAATGGTAACGCATGGCGATTTTTATAATCTGGATGCCATATCAATAGAAATTAAATTTTGCTAATAAAGCGTCCATTAAATCCTATAGAGAACCATGCAAATAAATTCACATGGTCTCCTGTAGGATTCAAAGCCGGTGTGTCTCTGAACCACGAAATTGCTCGCAAATGAATGCGAGCGCGTTGGACACCTACGCCACCGATCCGACACACATTATAGAATAGATATGGGTGATTCTCGCCTAACTGTGATTTTTACAACTTACATTTTTCTAAAATTTAAAATGTTTTAAAACGTATGTTTTACGCGTTTTTGTTTTCTATTTATGCATAGAAATAAGCCTGTAAAGTGGTTCTACTACAACTACGACACAACGAAAACTGTGACAAAATTTAAAAATTTTAATGCCACGGTACTGACATTATTTCCACGGTACTGACATATAAATGATTATTTTTTTTTTACCAATCCGAAGATTGGTATAAAATTGCAATAAAATTCAATGCAGTATGCATTAGATTGTAGTTATAAGAGATAAATTTTATATTAAAAAATGAATTTTGATAGAAATTTATATATTTAATTTTAAAAATGAGAATCGGACATGCCACGGTACTGATATTTCGAGTATATTTATATGCAGCTAAAAAAAAATTACGAAGGTTTATGATCTAATTCATAATGTCGGTTGTAAAATACCTCTAAATTTATAATATTATTAACTTTTTGATGAGGAAAACTTATGCTAAACGATAAATAAAACACGACATAAAAAATCACAATTAGGCGAGAATCACCCATATAACGTTTTATTCGTTTAATAGACTGGTATGTGGTTACAGATTAATTCTGTAGTTTCTATCTACGCAAAGACTACAAAATGAAAAAATATGCCATTACGACTTGACGAACTTAACGAATATATTTCATATCCATTCTACCTAGTATGAACACTGTAGAAAAATTAAATCCACCAATCACAGTTGATATTTTGGCCACCCAGCAACTATTATTTTTTAAATTTTATATGAGTGACAATTCTGTCAAACTAATTGTCAGTATATTTTTAAGTTATTGAGATTAAAGGCGATTTTAAATCAGTTACTAGAAATGTGACCAAGTCAAGTGTGGTCAAGGTTCTTACGTCATTATAATGACGTTCTAATAATCTAATTTAAAAATGTTTGGTTTATATTGACACTAACTTCACAATGGGTATAACATTGGCAGATATCATGAATTTTTATTTGTGTATTATGTAATAGTAGTAGGATTTGTTTTTAAATTTGTAGGGATAAAAAATAAATATTTGTTTTGTTTACTGATCATGGATGAAGAGAAAATTGGTATTATAGTTACTTTGGCCTCTGAAATTTTATCAAAACTTTAGCCATGTTCATTAATAAATCCTACCTTGAAAATAAATTGGCTTTTCATTTGCAGAAACCTTAAATGCGTCCATATCTAGGTACTCAGCCAGGGTTGCCAGACGTCGCGCTTTAGGCGTAATTGTCCCGCTTTTTAACTTGCTGGCACGCGTTACGCCAAAGTACAAAAATTCTCCGCATTTCACCTTATTACTACGTTTTTTAAATTTAAAGTTATATACAATGATATTTTTGACAATGTTTGACCTGTTTTTGAGAAGCTCAGAAAAAGGAATTTGATGGTTTAAATAAATATAAGCGGAGGACCTTTTTTTAGATCTCTACAAAAAAAGGAGCTTATTTTATAAAAATACCTGTTTTTTTAACCTGATACCCTATCGTCACCATTGTCCCACTTTTCCCTTTCGTAAATCTTTCTTTCTATTTTACAAATAACACAACCAAACAATGATTTAATAATTAAAAAGTAAAAGTTTTACATTTGTCATTTCATTTGACATTTCATACCTGTGATGACCACGTTTTTACTGTAGTCATGTCAAACTTGACTATTTCAAGACAATATTCAATATGACGTCATTGTTTTTGATTTATATCAGTGTAATCAATCATATTCAAGACATAGTATCTGATTTAAAATCGTTTTAAATATACGTAAAAATGAGTTATTCATTTGTGTAGAATCGATAAATAATAGCATTTCTTTTTACTTTGTCCACATTTACAAATAAATCTTAAATTTTAATAAAACTACCTATATAAACTAATTTAATTATGAGTATTAAAACTAAAATCGTAAATGTGTCTAAATCTGAGCTGGGAACTAATTAAATTAAATTTTTTTTTTCATGTTTATTTTATTTTATAAATTAGTTAAAGTCATAAATTATTATAAAATTAGGTATTTTGTCTTAATAACCTAAAATATATTTTTTAAATTTGTAGATTTACTGAACAACTCGAGTGGATTGTCCATATCCACTCTTGTTGCACAAACTCGTTCGACTTTGGCTTTCTTGAATTTCTTGGATGACGTCTTCGATGTCTGTTATTATTTGACTGATCGGTGGGCGTTCTTATATTACTAATGTCGCCCTGAATTATAATCGTAGCCTTTAACTCATCAATGGTGTCACCCATGTTAGAGCAGCCATTGCAGATGAACTTTAAATTTGCTTTACTATGTTTAATCGATTTAAAATCATTGATAGTTAACTCCACACAAGAATAATAGAACTCAAAAATTAGTAGTCAACTGAATTTATATTGACCATTGGCGGAATAGATCGTAGCCAACCGGCATAAAAACGTAAACAGAAATGACCTGGGGCCCTATTCTCTAATGTCTATTTCAAAATGTCACACTCAACATTGATATGTCGAACAAGAACGTAAAATGTATTCTCAAATGGCGAATTCGACATTTGCTGTTAGATATAAAGTCGAGTGGTATTCAACCTGTCGACATTTTAATGTCGCATACCTTTTTAAAGATAATGTTACAATGTGAGTGTTGTGACAGTGATAATTTATGTTTAATTTTAAGAAAAATTAAAAAAGGTATATGTATAAATTGTTTTAAAAATGCACTTCCAATTTTCTATTTAATCCCCCATGAAATTTCAGTTAAAAAGTTTATATAATATTGTGTCTACTTTCTAATTAGTATTTATCAAAAAGATATATATTCGCGATATATTTTCAGTATTATTTTGTAATTGTCTGCTATAATAAACTAGTATTAGGCATTCCGAACTGAATGGCTACTAGTGGGTTTTGACAGGTTATGATATGGCAAAATTATGGCAACCCTGTAGGCCTGGTGATTTGACAAGGGCAATGAAATAGACAGATTGATAATCCATATTTTTCAAAACAAACATAAGCTTATGCCTTGAAGTAAAAATGTAATCATTTATTTTTTTTTAAATATCCAAAGGCTGAAAACTATATATGTACCATTGACCCTGTTAATGACAACATGACAACAGGATTGCCATATCTAAACTGTCAGCTGTCAGTCTCCACTGGTAACTTTGATTTTCTTTTACTATACGGAGAATGGTCGCACTGCGCAGCTTTCTGAGTGCCTTTTAAAAGGAGATAAAAAACTCCGCCATTTTGATCCCTTATTACGTGTTGGCGCAATATTTTTAATAGGTGCGTCTTAATCATCCGCTTCCGCTTCGGAATTGTCGGTTTTCTTGTTTTAATCTGACAGGTTAAAACCACTAAACCGACAATTCCGGAAGCAGAAGTGGATGATTAAAACGCATCTGATATTTTGCTTGCTGCTGTCAGTGTCAGTAAATAATTTTTGGAGTCACAGTTTATTGCTAAAGAATCAGTTAGCTCACTCGGACCAGTTGAAAGTTCCAGGGATACAAATTCAGGATGCGCAGAAGACTGCTGTTTTATTATAGGCGGTTGTCATATATTGTATTATCCGAGTTGCGCAGTGTATAAACTGGAACATTGAGATCAAAAGTGCCGTCGCAGAGTGAGCGATCTGATTCTTTAGCTATAAACTGTGGCATAGGAATCAAAATGGCCGCGCCCTATGTTGGGCGTGTCGGACCTCTCTCTTGCACCGAATAGTAATCAAAGTATGTGACTGGTAGCTATTTGTACAGGTCGTTGGAATGCCTAATTATATGTTTATATACAATGTTGTCAGATGTTACCATTCGCCAAATATGTCACCGATTTTAAAATGTCTATTTGTCTTTGAGAATAGGGATAGTGTCAGTCGATCGACATATTGATAGGCATTATGACGAATGCGACATTTTTAATAGACATTCGAGAATAGGGCCCCTGATGACTTAAAATGTCTATTAAACTGTAAATGGGTGGAAAAAATACCTGCTAACAATTATATACCTACAACATTCAGTCCTCCATGTGTTCACTTTTGCACAATTAAAATTTTTAAACAATTCAAAAACCACTATTTAAAGTTAAGATTCAAAGAGCTCGGAAAACTACGTACCGGTTGTAGCACTATTCCACCATATTTTTTTGTTACACATTGTTACAATTAAACTCCCACAATAATACAGAAATTTGATAGGTATTGTTGATAATAGAACGAGATTTGTAGGCTTTTTTATCTTTTTATTTAATGATTGACAAATATCTTTTTTTTATACTGACGTTAAACAAAATTACAGGGGTAACACAAAACATAAAACAATATATTGTAAATTAATAAATATTAAGCATTAACTGAACAAAACTATTCCTAACAGGTATACAGTTGATTGAAAATGGTGTCCACAAATGTGGACACGGTGACTGAACAAGTTATTACTAAAAATAAAGTTATGGAAAATTTTATATTATTGCATTAATTTTATCCCGAAATTTTATAGTGTATAATTTAATTTTATTTTTTTTATGTAAAATTAGTTTGGTACTGGTTCCAAATCTGCTTAAACATTTTAATGGGTTTCAGTACAGTTTCGTGCATTGTAAATAGTACATTTTTGTTTTATTTCATAGGTGGATTTCAATTTTCGGATGCGATAAAAGCCAACTTAATAGATCATTACATACCTTTCTTACCTATGCAAGAAAACCATATAATACAATGTATTAAAGATCAATTTACACAAAGAGGTGTGCCATCACCAAAACAAGAACATATTAAGTAAGTTAAAAGCCTTAATTATACATTTAAGGTAGTTCTCTCGAAACAGTCGTACACAAAAATATCGCCTAATGGTGAATACCAAAAGTTCGAGATCCTCAATTCTAAAAAATGTTATTTTTGTACGAGACTTACACAACACATGTAAGCTTATATATGTATACGGATACGTTATTATTTCAAGTAAATCCATCCGGCAACGTCGCAAATATATGAATGGTGGGCTATCAAGTGTGTATTCGCGATTCAAATTAATTTTCTTATTAGACAAAAGAGGAGAGGCCAGATGTAAGTCATATCAAGCCCTTTACGTTGAGTTATGGACTGAATCGATGGACTGTACAGTTCAAATCTCACAAAAATCGTAGCGTGTAGGGGCTCTATTTGAGTTACCGCGCGTTAAGTGTAGCGATTACAATGTTGCCAAGTTGTAATCATTGTACCCCCACTATGCGTCGACTTCATTAAAAATATTTTTATTTTAAAAATCTATCTTTTTACCAAAACGGTTAAAAAATTAATCGTTTTTTTAGAAAATTTTATAACTTTTTGATTTACATTACATTAGTTTTTAAAAAATATAGAAAGAAACGTTTTAGAGATATTTTGAAATAAATGCATTGCTTGTGTGCATGACAGGCTTCAAGAGTGTTAATTATTCACATTTTGATTTTTAATATCTCGTTTCACAGACGGTCAAAATTTTTATTAACCTTATATTTCAATTTTATTGAATTCTTAAGAAAATCCGTTTTACAAGTGAACTACCTTAAGTTATTTTCATAATTGTTTTTTTTTGTTTACTATATATATTTCTTAAAAACATTTAAACTCTAAACTCAATGAGCATTTCTCATTTTTGACGCCTTATCTACTGTATAACCTGGAAAATGTTCATATTAGTTTTTTTATTAAGTTATATTCTGCTTTCAAAAAATTATTCCATTTTACAGAAGTGTTACAGCTGGGTAATTCCTGATTAATTTTTAGGAAATAGAAAAAACAATAAATTAAAAAAATACGGCGATCTATCTGTTACCGTATATAGGGACCGTGCGTCATGACTTTAACGCCAACTGGTGACAAAAATGTGCACTTTTTGGGGGAGATTTATTAATGTTTTATACGGCATTTATTGTTTAGTAATTATTAATTAAATAAAGTCGAATTATTTTCGTATTATCATTATCGAAAAAACTTGTTGCATCCGTGGGTGTACAAACATATCGCTTTGGAAACCTGGATTTGATTCGGTAGTAAAGAAATTTTATAAATTTCCATAGAGCACACTTCGTGTCTCACACCTAACGATATACATAATTACATAGATTGCTTATCCATATGTATCTATCTTGTATTAATTTTGAGCACTTAGTTGTAAACAAATCATTTACAGAACCGGTTTATGAAATTCGAATCTTTAGTGCTTTTTGTCATTAAGATTTTTACATATTTAAATTAACATTTTATATAAATATAATTTTACAGATAATTAATGGTTTATTCTGTTAATTAAAACTAATGTAGAATGTTACTGTGAAATTAGAATGTCCAATTTGACAAACATATCATACAATTTGTTAACTATTTCTCATTTATCACTAAAATAAACAAATCATAATTAATACATTGCAATTACTGTCAAAAGAGATTGCAACAAATTTTAAAATATTAAAAATGCAGTGATTTTCTGTAAAATTTTTAGTAACATTACTATTAAACTTACAAAAGTTGTTTATATCTTATATTAAAGTTGTTTACATTACCTTTACAAAGTTGTATTACATATTGCAATTATGTGTTTCATATAGTGTTATTTCTGAAATTAGAATGGTCTAAAATTATTTACATCCATCCTTATAAAAATTGTTTAGATCTCTTAATATTATTTAACTACATGGAAACTCAACTCTCAAAATACATAACGTGTCTTGAATTAAGTAATTATTTTCTTTTTCTAAAGAATAAAACGCTGAAATTTTATTTTAAAACACATTTGGGCTAGAACGCCCTATTTCGTGGGCACTATTTAAAGGCAATATAGCAGTGCACATTGCAACCCGCTTTTCGTAATATTTTTTATAGATGGATGAGCAATCTGTATAATTATGTATAGCATTGGGTGTCTCATAAACGTCTAAGGTGGATGAATTACATTTCTACTAACATAAAGAATTATTATTATTATTCTCTATCTATTTTATTAATTTACATTTTTAAAATGTTATTGTAATACTTTTAAATTTAGTGTTACTAAATACCGATATTTTGACATTGGATACACTTGCTTGAGGTACAACTTTACAATTTATTGTCACTTAACCATTTAAATTTTTTGCTTAAAATGTATATACATGTCCAGATTTTAATAATTTTTCACATTTTATATCATTTTGACCATGTAAACCATTGTTTGTTATTTCTATATTTAACTATATTTAATATTTTAAAAAATATCCTTTATTTTTTACTTGCAATGTTTACCCCATTTAATTCTAAAATTGAATACTAGAGAGGGCTAACTTCGACAGTAGTGCTGCCTCTATATTTCACGCACGGTCCCTATAGACAACGCTACTGATTCGTGTTAGAGACGGCCCCCAACGTCCATGAATATGATGATGCATTTTCATACCTTAGAATATGACGACATTCTGTTGCATTTTATTACTCGTTAAAAACTGAAAGAGAAATCTAAGACATGGCAACGCACTTCAAGTTGAACCAGACAGTTTAGTTTGGATGTCAGATGTAAAATGTTTTTTCTACGCCCTTGTCAGTAAACGTTAAAAATCGCACTGTCAACATTCCTTGTAAATGACATTAATGAGAACATGCACGTAATGAGATCTTATAACATACACGTGCGTTTTGATAAGAAAACTTAAATTTCTTGGTTTAATCAAATTGCAATCAAATTTTTGTTTACGTACGACTGTATTTGGTCTATTTACATAAATTTAGTCAATTAAAAAATATAAAAACTTTTAGCATTAGCGAAATATATTTTGGATTAACACTATGCCCCTAAATGTTGGTAACACAGCGTACAATTTTTCAAAAAATATGTCGCGTTTTCTTAGTATGCTATGGAAATAAACGTCATGTCATTTATACTGTTAATTTTTGTAACAAAATATTAGGCATTCCAAACAAATGAATTACCAGTGGGCAGGTGTGGTATATCTAAGGGTGGCGACATATGGTGTATTCTATCTACTTTACGTAAAATCATGAATAATGGATTTACATTTACAATATTTTATGTCAAACACAATAAAAATAATATTTAAAAAACCCACCTATACATTTCTTCATAAATTGGCAAGCTTGGCGAGTACTACTTCGAATAAAAATAGCGTCCAAGTTGCAAGACTATGTCGCTACCCCCTTAAATATACAAGAATTTCCCACTGGCACCTATTGTTTGACAGGTCGTTGGAATGCCTAATTGTATCCGAACATTTTCTCAACTTTACCTACAAATATGTTTGTTAGTAGTGAAAGTGGTGAAATTATGAGCACTCCACCGGAGATTTTAGAAAAATCTCAAGCTGCCACACATAATTTGTTACCACTAAAATCCAAAGAAAGGTACGAAATTACCTATCGAAAATTTATGGTTTGGTTACACAACCATAACGTTAAATTCTTTCCGGAGAATGTTTTAAGTGGGCGTAGAAAAAGTACAGTACGTTTCACGAGTTTAAGCCCATTACGCACTCGTGAAATTTACGCACTCGCCGCTGCTATTAAGCGTTCTTGTTGCCTGGTGTTGGTTGCATATTAGTGAACATGTAAGTGTAATAATTAAAATTCGTACTTAAACGTGTTTTAAATTTGATCAAAACAAATCATATGCAGCTGATCGATGATTCCAAGTTAGGGAGCGTTCAAGTATTACGTAACGAATTTGGGGGGAGGGGGGTTTTGTAAAACGTTACGATGCGTTACAGGGGCGGGAGGGGGGAGTTGAACTTCCCGTTACGTAACATTATTACTTCTTAACCCTTCAGAAAAGTCGCGTATTTTAGCGACTTTCCGGTACTTTACGCCACATAATTGTGATTTTTAGGTAAAAATAGTCACTTGGTGGTTACGTAACGTTTTACTAGGGGGGGGAGGGGTACAGAAAAACGTTGCGGCGCGTTACATGGGGGGGAGGGGGGGTTAAAAATCTCCAAAAATTGCGTTACGTAATACTTGAACGCTCCCTTATGTTATAATGCGTAGAGTTAACCGTATACTTTAGGACCCAACTATTATGTCATGTGCTTCATTAATCACTTGTTATCTCTATTTGCTGGTTATTTTTATGCAAACATAAATTATTCAGTGAGATTAATTAACTTATGAGATGAAGAATGTCATGGTATTAAAAATTTGTCAATAAATATGTTTCCCATTGATGTACTGAATACCTTAATAGCCATAAAAATACTCAGCCCCCAAAAGAATATCTTTTTGACATTGAAAATGATATATAATTCAGTAATTTTGATATGCCAGAATATAAATATATTTTTGAAACTCTACTGTACCTAATCATAATTAATTTTAATACTGTTATTTAGGGAAGTCTTGGAGTTTGTCGAATGGGGCCCAGATGACATTAAATTATATTCAAAAACAGGATGCAAGAGAATTAGTTCTAAAGTTGCAGTGATAGTAGCAAAACACTATCCAATGAGGCAAAAGAGGGAACTGTAGTTACCTGTTTCTAAGAAGATACTAATGAAAATAAACTGTTAAAACAAAGTGCACAATTGTAGGATTTTATGGTTTGACATACAAATTATTTTTTTAACATTCTAATAGGATATACAACCATGCAAGAACTATTGTAATTGCAGTTTTTTAAAAAAATATGACATATGATATGAGCCAAGAGCTAAACACAGTTTTCCTATTTTTTTATATTTTTTTACAAGCGTATAGAGGGTATATAAAAAATTAGGAAGATTTTATGCTACAATGAACTACACTATTGTTAAATTATATTGTAACAAAGATAATTTCTAATTGTTTAATATCCTAATTAAAAAATGTTATTTCATATAAATATATTTTGAAGATATTGTGATATCCAAATAACAATTCCATGTCATCACCCTTATAAAATAGGAACAAATGAAACTCTTTAATAGTTAAATTTTGAGCTAATAGTTTTTAAGTTTTAAAATAAAAACTGCTTTATTGTATTGTAAATGAAAACAAAATTCCACATTAAAATTTATTATAATAACGATGAACTATTGCCAAAAAGTAAGAAACCTCCCCTAATATTGGCCAAAATTGTTAAAATTCGACATAATATATGAATTATTTCATTATATAATACTCAAATTTCATTCACATGTTACTTGTAGGTCGTTTAACAAGGGCTTGATTCAAACCCTTGTCAAACCACCTCCAGGTACATGTAAATATTAAAAAATATATATATCACTGAAATGAAAAATGGCATATTAACAATAAAAAATAGGAGTGCTATTTGAAAAATTAATATTAGGGGTTGTTTGACAAGGGATTGATTTTCATCTCATAAACACCTTTTTTTATTTTTATCTTAGTCAATAACTCTGATATTATATGGCCATAAACCTATGGGTCATTCAGTATATTGAAAAACTATTGATTAAATAATATCTAAACATAGGCGGGACTATCTGAATAAACTAAATTCTAATAATAAAGTAGATGTTGGTGACATTTTAGCTATTTAACTTATTTGGTAATGGCATAATTTTTCCCAGAGGTAGGTGCATTTTTGGGTCCAATTTTAATTATGTATTTATATTATTAATTTATTAGGAAATTTGACAAATTATTCAGAATTATATATATTTTTAATCACTTAAAATTTTAGAAATAAAACTGGTGCTCTCCTAAGTAATCTAGTCCTTAAAAAAGTAATTTAATTTCCATCGTCAGATTTTCTAAACCCATTATCTAATGACTAATAAAAATAGTGTTGTTCACAAATACGCAGCTTTAAGGTATATTATTTAATTATTCTGTGATATCCCTAAATTGGCTGAAGAACAACACTATGATCAATTTACATTTTATTATTAAGCTGTAAAGTTTTTGTTTTTAATATTTATGTCAAAGAATAAAATGTTTATTATGATTTTTATTTCTGAAAAAGTTTATTAACCTTCCTCTTACAAACATTTTTTTTTGTTCAGCCAGACAGCTGTTTAATCGAGTTTTACTTGTTTAACGCGAAATCCCCTTATATAGCTTGAACGCGATTTTTCTTAATCTAAAATATTGTAAGCACTTTTTTAAGTCTGCGAAAGGGTTGATATGCTTGCTCTGTTGAGTGGGCGGACAGAATAACTTCACCTGGGCATTTACCATCGGGATGCTGGAAGCCCACCAAACAGCCAATTCCAAAAATGGGGCATCTGGAGCCATCTCTCGGCGACGTTATTAACCTGCAGCACTTTGACCTAAGAGGCTGACTAGCCCTAGACACCCCTCACCGGCAACCAGCAGGTTTTTGATGAGTTAACAACCTACAGGACTTTGATGAGGTGGGAAGATGGCCGTCTCTAGGCAAATCTCAGTGACAACCAGCAGGTTATTGACAAGTTGAGAGGCAGGTTCTGTATGTCCATGGCCGATGCACAAAGGGCCTAATGGGACCTAAGATGTGTTGCAACCTACCCTCCCCACCTAACATACACAGAGGGTTGATATTAAAAAAAATTTGATGTGTCCAACACATGACTTTCCTATCTAGTTATTACAGGCTTTTTCCGGTTATTTTGTACAACCTATTGCAGCACCTCTATAAATGTTTAGAGGATAAACTAAATATATACATTTTCCACATACATCTACCTCAAAACATTTTTCTATAGATATTCATTGAAAACGAAAATACTGAAAAATTTAAATTTAGCACTTTTCCTACAATTTTTCCATTACGGTCCATTTTAGAAAAACCATGTATAAACAAAAATTATAGAGATCGATATCGCAAACAACTTTTAGATCAACAATTTTTATAAAAATCTGAATTTTGCACATTTTGTCAAATTTCTCGAATACGGACCATATCAGGAAATTTTGACATAAAGCAAAAATTATAGATAATAATAGAAGTAACTTTTATTTGAAAAATTTTCTTCTCCAAACATAAATAACAGATATATTCCATAAAATATAAAAACGGCCTCCCATAAAGTTACGACTTTGTCCAAAATCTAATCATTTCACGTCAGGCCAAAATAAACCTTAAGTTTAAAATTTAATGTTTTTTCCGTTATCCGTTTTTGAGTTTTCTTCAAAATTCGAAAGGACACCGCACTTAAAGCACTGAAAAAAGGTTTCCGTAAAAATGTCTCAATTTTATATATGTTGTAGTCCTAAACATCTTTATTGAATTTGTGAAGAAAAATTGGCGGGGTCCACGAGCCGTTTCGGAGCTAGGGTCACTCATAAGTGTACGTAAAAGGGGGCTTGCTATATGTGCACTACTTTTCAAATTGTCCTTATAATCAAAAAAGAGCATAATTTAAAACAAAAACAGCATGCATGCCTTAAATGGATATAGTTACTGTTATTAAGTCTAAAATATGGCAACTCTACAGGGTGAACAATTTTAAATGGTACGGAAAGTTGAATATTTATAAGATATTTTTAGTATTTTTGTTTCTCGGTATGCATTTTAGTAAAAAAATAATTTTAATACTGACGACGAGCACGTCGATGGGGGGTTAGAATTATTTTGAAATATATAGGGGGCATCATTAGAAGGTGATATCATATAGTTGTTTTTTAAATAGGATGCCCTATATATTATTTCACATTTTCATTCGTTGTGACGAACCGAATTCAACGGTATAGTATACTTTTACCCTGGAGTGAATAATTGAAGAGTTATAAACAGTTGAAAATTGGATTTTTTCAACTTTGGGCAATTGTTATATGAAATCGATTCAAAATCAACTAAAATGGATTACATGTCCCTATTTTAACTTTTTAAATATTATCCAATGATTTTCGCAAAATAATGATACAGAGTTGTAAATAATTCGGATTTTTGACCACCCCTGCATACAATTTTTTTTTATTGTATCATACAGTATATGAAAAGTTAGGACATGGACATGCAAGCCATTTTCTTCGCCTTTGAACCGTTTTCACACAGCAAGTGTCTAAAAGTATAAGAATCCGATTTTCAATTGTTTATAGCTCTTACATTATTCAATTCAGAAGACAAATGTTCTACATCGTTGAATTCCGTTCATTACAAAGAACTAAAACGTGAAATAATATACAGGGTATCGTACTTAAAAAATATAACTTTATGTTGTCACCTTGTAATAATTCAAAATAATTTCAAAATAATTTTAAAATGTGCAGCTCAGAATACCTTATAACTTATGTATACATTTTTTCTTGCAAGTTTTTAAATAAGGGAGTTATAGAGCTACGACAGAGGTTTGTCGGACCCTGTATGGTTACACCTGTAACAAACATTTCTGTTTAGGTTTTCATTAATTTTTTTCTGGATTAGATATATGCTAAAATCTAAAGCGTAACTAGTTACTGACGTAATAAAAACGTTAAAATCATTTACCTTTCATAAAACATATTACAAATAAAACTTGGATTAACCATCCAAATATTTTTATAATGGAAAAACGAAGAGACCAACCAATCATTAAGAATTAAAATATTATATGTGTACGGTGGATCATGGAAATACAAGATAAATACTGCAAGACCGCCAACCTTAGCAAATTCAAGAAGGATAATGTTGACATAAATATTAAAAGAAAATAGCAATATTTATCTAGTTGCCTTTGGATAAAAAAGAAATCAAAGTAGTAAGCTGTCAAACTCTAACACGGTACCATTAGTGATTTAAAAATACAAACGGATCGTTATTAGTTAATCTTATTTCTTAATGATTTTTTGGTTTCTATTTGTTTTCCACTTTAAATAGTTTTATTTGTGACATATTGTATAAAAGGTAAGTTTTTTAAACCTTTACGTAACACCTGCGTAACTAGTTATAATTGTTTTTAGCATATATCTAAAGTCCGCAAAAATGAATGAGAACCTAAACCGAAATGTTTGTTACACGTGTAACCAGAGAATGAATATACGAAATATGGTCCGAATAATTAATGACGACAATAACAATGCTAAAAACGAAATTATACAAACAAGAAGGGAAGCATTCGGTCTACTACCAGCTCCTATTAGACAAATAAGTAGAATATGTCTTAACTGCAATAGAACAATTGTAGATGAACTTCGAAACGTGGAAAATGATCCAACATGTTTACGTTTAAATGTATTGCGACAAACTTTAAACACTACTTGCGTACTTTGCAATAATAATGAAAACTTAACTCGGCTTTCAATTAAATGCAGGGTTCATATTTTTATTACTGTTAATATCTACGTTCCCGAAAGTGTGAGAGTCTGCCAACACCATTTAGATGAAAATGATCATATATTTAGACAATTCCTACCTGGTTTAGAATTTGTTAACAGACCTTACAAAATAAAAGGTGGCCAGTTAGCGCTATTTTTACAAGAATTGCGCGTAACCAGTAAGCAAGAAAAATGGCAGTTTTGTGATATCGACAGTTTTTCAGACGATGAATTTAAGTCAATATCTCCAATAACAAAAAATCAGTTTAGAGATCTATACAGATATTGTGATAATATTTTTAGCCAAAATCAACGCCGTTTTGTGTCAGAAAAAGATTTACTTACATTTCTATGTAAAATAAAACAAGGTCTGTCTGATCATTTTTTAAAAGCCATTTTTAATTATCCTACGAGGCAGTGTGTAAGCATGGTGGTTAGTAACGTACGCTTATCTTTGATGCAAAGATTTGTACCAGAAAATATAGGATTTCAAGCAATAACACGGCAAGAGTATATGGAAAGACATGTTACACCATTTGCAAATAGGCTATACAATCCAAATCCAGAAGTTCCAGTTGCTATAGCATATATTGATGGGACATATTGTGAGATACCAAAGAGTACGAACTTTCAGGTACTCATAAACTATTGAAATTACTAGTTTTGTTTGCGTCAATATCTAGACGGTCCTGAAACAAGAAAAATATTTTACTTATTTTACCTTTATCCTAAAGATTAATAAAATGTAAACGTCTTTTAGGCCCTTCGGCAGTCTTACTGCGTCCACAAAGGCTACCATCTGATAAAACCGGCCCTTTTAGTTGCTCCTGATGGTTATATCCTAGCTGTCCAAGGACCTTACTTTTCTGATTCAAGAAATAACGACGCCGCAGTGTTAAATAATGAACTACAACGAGACATTCAAGGGATAAGGGAGTGGTTTCAAGAAAACGATTTGCTTGTTGTTGATAGGGATTATCGAGATGCGATTCCGTTACTTCAAGAACTAGGCATTGACCATCGCATGCCCAGTAGTGTCAGACCAGGAGAAAGGCAGCTATCGGTAGAAGAAGCTAACGACTCTCGTTTAATTACCAAAACTAGGTGGATTGTCGAGTCTCGTAATGGTCACTTCAAATCTATTTTTAAATTTTTTGCTCAAGTTATATCAATTAACCATGCATTGCATTTACGAGACTTTTATCTTATTGGTGGGGCAATTATAAATAAATATCGGGAACCAATACTGATGAACGGGGCGAATATTGAACTTGCAGAGTTATTATTGCAAAAATCAACCGAGGCAAATAATTTAAAAATAAGGATTGAAAACGAAAACTTGCTACAACGTCGTGGCCATTTTGTTAATCTAGAAAACCATCACGTACCAGATTTTCCTCACTTAACTTTAGAATATCTTAATGCACTGACAGTAGGAACGTACCAGCTAAAACTTGCTCCATCTTATATTCAGGATGCAAGGCAACATGAACACGGTAATAATTTTCAAATCGACATCTCTATTGAAATATGTAATACAATTAGGATTCGGATGTGGTCAAGGTTTAAAAATGCGGCTAAATATCAAATCTGGATTCAGTATGATAATGATAACATAATTGGTTATTACTGCACCTGCAAAGTGGGAGCAAGGACAGTGGGTACTTGTTCACATATTACAAGCGTAGTTTGGTTTCTGGGATATTCTAGGCATTTGGTGAACGTA